ACAGCAGGCGCGAAGGCAGTCTTGAGGTCCATGTCCTGCTGCGCCACTTCATTGATGAGGATGTCCATGTCTTCCATGTGGGCATTGCGAGTGGAGTGCGATTGCCTTTTCTGCTAGTTTTGGCAGTGTTGGCTTCTGCTTCTTCACGGCCCACTGGGCGAACGAAGTGCTCCCTATATGGGAGGTCTTCAAGTCGAAAGAAGTGAGCAGCTTCGTAATGGCTGCCACTGACCGTAGGTTGCATACACTGGGGGGGGAAGGGCCCGTCCAAGGTGCCGCCTCCCAGACCTCCACAGTTAATCTGTACAGTATCCGGAGGGCAGGGGCTGCTTCAGTGATCCAATAATATGGCAGTTGCCTGCCATGTGCCACAGGAGGGTTTCCCACTTGTTTTCGCCTTGTCCATCTTCATAGACTGCAGCTGAGACTTCAGGGGCAATACCTTCAAGAGGCATGCGCCCACCTCTGACTCGGTCGAAAAGGCTCCCGTTACGAAGGCCAAACTCCCGGCCTTCTTCCGTATGGAAAATGCCCATTGCTTGATAGATGAGGTCAAGGGGCGTTTCAGGTTGCTCTGCATGGACGACGGGGATAGCTAAGCTCTGGGCAAAAATGTCCCATCGCACGAATAGACAGGGCACAGTCAGCTGTGGGTTGGTCGGTCGGTCAATCCTCATTGGGCGACAGTTTCGGTCCTGGGAGCGCTTGACCCCGACTCTGAGGAGCCCTGGTCAGCAGCTTGCAGGAGCTGTCGCCGGCAAAAGTCTGCTGAGGTTTTAGAGGACTATGCACAGAGACGAGGTCATCATTCAACTCCTGAGGCGTAGCAGCCTCCATATGGCTGCAGCGGCAAACAGACAAGAGAAGCATGTTTGCTTGCTTTGGCGCACACTGATTGTCTGTTTGGCGCAACGCTAGGGAAATGAACAACTCCCGAGATGCGCTCACCTTTCGCGAACATCCGACATAACATCAAACATCCATTCAAATTCAACATCCAGGTTCTGGACGCCTGCACACTTTTTCACACCAATCGGAAACTTCGTCTTCCCAGTGCTGCTTCAGACCATGAGCCTTATGGAGAAACGGCTCTCACTGCTCATTGAACCTTTTTTGCAGGAAGCATTTATTTGCCCTGCGCCACAGATTCACAGAAGTCAGCTTAGTTTCGCGCCAATGAGTTTGTCAAGAGGTCTGTCAGGAGTTCCGTCCTTTAACAACGAGGCTAAACAAGCTTTTGCCTTGGCAGCTTGCAATTCGGCCCAACGAGAAGCATTTCTTGGCCTGGAAAGAAGTTGCGAGGCCCAGTTCATCCAGATTTGGGCAAAGACAATGGACTTCTTGCGTGGTGAACTGTCACGAAGACTTCACCTTGGTTGGAAAAGACTTGAGAGGCAGCAGCGTGAGCAGTTCTTCAGAGAGAAGTTCAAGAATACGCTGGAGGTATTTCGATCCGACAACGATCAGAGCAAGTCCTCAAGGGGCCCAGCTTTAGTGAAGAGAATTCTTCGATTTGCGTGGTTTCGAATTTGATGAGTCGAGCTGATGGTTCAATGGTTGTGGACATGAAGAACACATTTGATAGCGCGTTGTTCATCTTGGTTGCTTGTGCACTGCTCTTTGTTTGTTTGGCTTTCATCGCCGGCATCTTGCTTGGCAGGCCTGGACCCAGCGTGTGGGACATGAAGAGCATGAAGTTGAAAAGAGACATTGGAGTTCAGTGTGATCGAGGTAGGGCCTGGGGAGAAACGACAGGTGGCCACACTTTGATTTGCAGAGTTGCAAAAGGAGTTGTTGAGACTCCTACAGGCACTGCCTACCGTCGCCCAGAGTGTAACCATGTCCAAAGGTCTTAAGGGGCGAAGTGATATTGCCCCATGCCTTGATTGTCCCCTTTGTTTTTGGATTTGCGCAAGCAGCCATGAGAACCCAAGACCAATTCCTGAACCCGATCAGGAAGATCATGTTGGATAAACTCAGGATGAAGCTGTGGGAAGACGTGCCGCATCGAAGTCCATCAACTGAGCCAGAAGCAGAGAATGTTTGGAGGCCTTGGGCCACCGAAGAACCCTAAGATCATTTAAAAACTTGCTCTTCGAAACTAGGTGGGTGCCATGGAGAAGAAAAGGGCCGCATAGCGTGTCGTTTTGCTACCTTGTTACTTTATCGGTGAAACATGGGTGAAAAAACACTTGCAGACGCGCGCGCGCATCATGTCATACATGCATGCATGCACACACCCATATACCCATACATCCAAACACCCCTATATCCATACATACGCACATACACATATACAGTACACACATGATGCATGCATACATACATACGTACAAACATATTTACCAACTTCTTTACTTACCTACCAACATACCTTCTTACTTACTTACTTATTTGCCTGCTTGGTTATCTATTGACAAGTGCGCGCGCACACACATACACATGTGATACAGTTTTTGTACTGTTGTTTGTTGTTTGACATTTCATTTCATGTATTGGTAAATGTTGGTGTTGCCTGCGTGTGCGTCTTGCATTCTTCTCAGCGGATATTTTGGTGGTTTGATCCGGGTATGCTGTGAGTCAATCGGGATGCTTCCTGATCGTCAAATATTATTCACGCATTGCGGTGCCGTTCGGTCTCATGTCATGCAAACATATTGCTTGCATTTGGCCCATTGGGCTCTATGCTGGGAAGGGCCAGGACGTGGTTCGCACTGACCATGAGGCGTGATTTGCCTCTCAAAAGTTTCAAGACGCAAATTCTCACCACAGCTGATGTTTCGATTTCCAAATAGATTTAGTCATATATTCTTCGTTGTGCCTTTGACGAGGCTTGGTGCGGGTCACCGTTGGCTTTTGGCCAGCCAAAACCTTTGTTGTGTTTTTCTGGATGCAGCAACGGCTTGTACACATTTAGAGCACATAATTGTGCATTTAAGTTCTTTAATTACATCAAATTTTTGAACTTGACTCAGCACCATGGAAAACTAGTCAGACCACAAGTTGATGTTGCATACTTTCATAATGTGGGAAGGGAAATCATAATCCTGTCACTATATTGCTCAGGTTCATTGTTTGCAAGTGCAGGATTGCTTCCATGGGTGGTGCACTTATTCTGTTAGCAAACCATGCATGGTCGACAATGACGCAATGGCCACCCTCCGTTCCAAGGGTTGCCACAATGACAAAGCATTGGTCACTGGATGTCAGTTGCAACTTGGAGAGCTTGTTTTTGTTGCACAGGAGTGATGATGAACTTAGGCATTGTCGGCTTTGGAGGTGGTTAACTCCAGACAATATAGGGCCCGATTCTAAGTGAAACTCACCGACGCAATCAATGCGTCGTTACGCTTGGTTAGCTGATTGATAGCCATGACAGGTGAATGTGCACAAACCTTTCACATTTTCAATTTTGCCTGCAATTGACAGCCCTTTGCCTTCCTGCTGGGGAGCAGAGAGCCTGGCGCCAGGCCAGTTTTGACTGCCTTGGTAGTTGCCTCCTACGCTGGTTTATGCTGCTTGCTACCCTACTCTCTCTTTCTATAAACACCAGGCTTAAGCAACGCACAGTTTAATCTCTGGGTTTGATCCAACCAAACGGTGCACTCATCTACGTTCTTATTCCCTGTTTTTTGGCCTCTAACTTTGAGACATATCCATATCGTTTCTGTAGGCTTCACTGGAACAAGCAGGGTCCTGCGACGGGTATATAAAGTACAATGGTTCGTGATTTTGGCAAAGCGATATCAGATATGCAGTGGAAGATAACAGGGAATTATTTCGAGTGATTTATTGCCCACATGATGCTGACGATGCACATGAGATGGTATGACAAACGCTACTACAACTAATATAGTAACTGTCAGCATTTGGCCAATCCATTACCTGCAAAACCATGAGCATCTTCTGTTTTTCTATTCATGCAGTACTTCCAGAAGAAGACGTTAGTTTTGGCGATGTCCAGGCTGCGGCTGCTTCGCTGCACACAACGGCAGGCTTTGTTTTGCAAGATGCCCCGATGCATTTTTAGTTTTTGATGGCTTATATATATATATATATATATTGCCTTTGATCCCTTTGATCACCACGCGTGCCCTGCAGGCATGGAATGATGACTCGCCCCCGCCGCCGCCACCACGTCCTCCGCGTTTGGACCTTGGTACTTTCCGTGCAGAAGCAAGATGTTTCTCAATGTAGTTGGCAAGCACGACTCAATGACTCATGACTTTTGGGCCAGATTGTCGGAGTCATTCTAAAAGGCACCAAGACTTGTATTCTGAACCATTTGGAAAGGGGTGCTTGGTAGCCGTGTCAAGTGATATTGTCACTTAGACATTGTTACCTTCAGTTTCAAAACGCTTATAGATACATGAGATAAACCCACGATGCAACAATAGGATTATTTTTGCTAGCTGCTAGCTGATATACTTTGGACACATGATTGTCAAAAGCTGTTGCTTAAGGCTTGAGACATGCTCGAGACAATTCACGTTTGCTTTGTGGGCACTGTGTTGTTTCTTCTTGTCGCAGACGTTTAGGCTCAAGTAACTTGTTACTTTGTTCCTGTTCCAAACTATGTTGAGCCTGAATTGTGTTACCTGCTCGCACGTTGTTGAAGTGCCTTGGCAAGATTTGCGAACAAGTTTTGCAGAGAGCGGCTTCTGCAGTTGAGAGGGTTGAAACCACCACTGAACAGTCTCAACCTGCATCAAATATGATTAGTGTACAGCTCTGGAGCAAACCAAGGATTGCTACCACGATTATGCACCTACCTTGCAAGACAGCACAGACGAGTTTGTGGAGCAGCCATTTTTGGACCAAATTAAGAAGCGCGTCTCTTTCCAGGCTCATATGACAAAGCTTGACATCATTTGATTTCAACCACTCCAAGAGATTCTTGTAGAAAGATGATTGAACCTGTCCAGGACGACCTTGCGGATGCCCCACAAGATTCTACTGCGACCGCAACCTCAAGGGCACCAGAGGGCTCGCCAGACTCCATGATGACGCAGTCGTCAAACTCAAATGGGCGGCAAAGCCAAAGCCGCACCGACCGTGTTGTCAGCAGGCAGCCTGGTTTGAATGGTTACGCTTTCTAGCTTGTCAGAATTTTGCTGACAAGATTGTATGCGACTTCGTGAGCTCACACATTGATTGTGGTTGAGTTCAGGCACCGCAGGAAGCTCATCCAAGCCAGGCTCTGGAATCCCATTCAATGTCAAGATTGAAACCATCCATGCATGACAAGCTTCCTGCATGCAACAATTGCAACAAGGAGCTGATATTGAAAATAGCTTTAATGCTAGGAAAACAAGGTGAAGCTGAATTTTCCTTCCTGCAGAACCATTTGCTTGCCTGACACGTGCAGAGTGATGGTGGTCGAGTTCCTTGAGCAAAATGGCTTCAAGCAGATCGATGTGAATTGCAAGAAGACAAATTCACTTGGCCTTTCTCGCAGCTTCGTTTAACTTCATTGCAATTGCCTCTGAGAAAACGCAGCTACTTTGCATTTGTTTGTTATTCATCCATCTCGGTGCTCCAAGGCACCTACCCACTCCATGAAGCGACAAAGCAAAACAACCCGATAATGGTCTATTGGCTTGTCTACCTTGGAGCAGACCCAAGTCAGAAGGACGCCGCAGGCAGGCACAACAGAATCCTAATGGCCATCATGCAGAATCCAACAAATGCTTTTTTGGATGGACATAAATGGAACGGTTCAAGATGTTCTCAGCACTTGGCAGCAAGACCTGCAAGTTCTTGAGGCCTGACAGCCTATCAGTATGTAAATCCGTTGACTTCGGATCCCCAGGCACGGAAGCTGACATTCAAAAATGACATCGCTGTTGCATTTTTTGCATGACTTTTTACAGTATAGAAAGCATTCGTTTTGTTTCTGATTTATGGATTCGCACAAGGTAATTCAGATTTACCAAAAGCTTAAGTCGGTCCGTGAGTGGCAGAGGACGGACTCAGTTGGCAATCTTGCATCAGTTCTATAGAACGTGGAAGAGTCAGCCTCTTCAAGTCCAAACATAGAATCAGAATCACTGTGGGCACTGGGAAGGGAAAGGAAGGGAATGGAGCTTCATCGGAAGTAGTGAGGAACAGGAACGGAGGAAAAGAGAAACAGGATTACAAGAAATGCAGAGGTGCTTTTGCCGATTCTTGCATTGGCGCTTGTTCTCTATGGGATTTGTGTTGTTTGGCCTTTCCCTTGCTAGGCTGCTAAGGTCGTTCTGTGAGAGCTTTGGTTGGAGTAGCTGAGTAGCTCAGCAAGTGTTCTTAATGACACTGTGCTGAGGGTCGTAGTGGGTGGCAGTAGACTATTCACTCCATTTTGTGCATCTTCCAGCCTCCAGCCCAACCAGAGGAATGGAGCAAAGTGGGAGGAAGGGTTAGGAAGGGAAGGAAGGGAGAGAGGACACCTACAGAAGTGTTTTCCTTCTGCCTGCGCCGCACACACCTTGCTACTTGGCAAGAGCTGCATTTTGTGGAGTTTGGGGTCCAACACTAACAACCAAGTCTGTAAATGCTATATTTGAGATGGTTTAATGTCCCCATGAATAAACACAACATAAGCTCATTGTTTCCACCGTAGCATTGGACTCCGAAAGGTGTTCCATCGACTCATTGGCTGGGTGAACGGCCGCGAAATTGCGGTGGATCGCGAGGCTGAGGTACTCGGCATCTAACCTAGTTCCTGCTGCCCCCCGAAAGAAAGGAGTTGTTAGAGGAGAAGACAAGGAAGGAGAAAAATAAGAGGAAAGGGAAACATCGCAAGACCTTGCAGCCTCATAAGAGGCGGGGTCACATTTTGGTTTAATCATGGAGGTGCGCCGCGGCAAAAACCGGACGCGTGTATTTGAATTATGGACGCGCAACTAGCCGACATGAACCTGCCGAATTTGACGTTGCATCCTTACATCACTCTTTTGCAGGCAAGGAAAGGCTAAAAACCTTTCCAGAGTTGGGGATGTGGAAGGAAGGTTGTGAAAATGGAGTTGAGGTTTCTTTGACGTGTTTTTTTTGCTAGTTTTCCAAAAAAAACTAGACGACGAGTGGCCCGAAAGCATTTTTCATCACGTAGGAAGTCAGAGTGTGAGTTATCTGTTAAGTGATCAGTGTGAAGTGTTAAGTCGAGTGAGTTGAGGCAGTGTGTGTGTATCTGTGTCTGTGTGTGTATGAGTCTCTGTCTGTGTGTGTCTCCGAGTAAGTTGAGGCAGTGCGTGGGTCTCTGTGTGTGTGTGTGTCACCCTTGGAATCATAGGGATCCTTTCGGATTGTTTTGAGCTTTTAGCAGGGGAACTGGGCACTCTGTGACTGACCCAGTTCAACGAAGCTAGGTCACAGAGTGGGATATTCGGACTGATCATCCGAACGTACCTGCGATTTTTCCGATTCTTGTGAATGGCACGAGGCTAAGCCCAGAACCTCACTCGGCAGACAAGCACGATCGTCGTCATTTTGTCGCTTCGTCGTCGCCTTGAGACTTTGGCCCTTCTTCCTCTTGAAGTCCCCCAGGCTCCGATGGTCCTTACTGGTACCCTTAGGAAATGGAACCCTAGGCCGGCGTGTGGCACCGCATTCACATCAGTACGCATATCCATGAGTGTGTTTGGCTTCGTGCCAACCCGGGATGAGCCCGCAGAGTGCCTCCCGTGGACCCGTTGAACGGGTGTACGTCGTTATCTCCCCTGCCCGGAGATGTACGTGTCCGCAGCGGACAGTAGCTGGCTCATGCCACCAGAACTCTGATTTTGTCTCATTTTTGGAATCCCAAGCTGGCTCATGCCTTTACGTGACCGCAGCGGTCCAAGCTGGCTTAACGCCTCAACGTGGTCAGAGCGACCGAAGTACTTTTGAGGTTCATTGGAACCTGTCGCGACCTTGGGTGCACACACATCGTGTACATTGAAACGAGGCAGGTCACCTAGGTCTTTGCAATGAGGTTTGGTCTCATCGGTTTTCGTCCCCTCCATTTGGTTCCCCTTTCATCCCTTCCCCTTCACACACTTTTGTTTCCTCTTTTCTTTCATGTCCTCCTGTCTTCATGTCTGGTCATCTCATCCCTTTTTTTTTTTCGTTTGCGCGCACATTGGTCCCGGCCTTAGTGTGTACGTGCACTTCTACACACATTTTTACACAGGTTTCAGGTCGCCCAGGTCTTTACAATGAGGTGGGCTTCATCGGTTGTCCCTGTGCACTTGGTTCCTCTTTCATTTCAACCACACGCATCTTTGTCCCGTCTCGTCCTCTGGTCATGTCTTCATTTTCTTGTCTCTTGGGCGCGCACACGTGCACATCGGCCCTCACCTTAGCTTTTCGGCGTGTGTGTGTCACCCTTGGAATCATAGGGATCCTTTCGGATTGTTTTGAGCTTTTAGCAGGGGAACTGGGCACTCTGTGACTGACCCAGTTCAACGAAGCTAGGTCACAGAGTGGGATATTCGGACTGATCATCCGAACGTACCTGCGATTTTTCCGATTCTTGTGAATGGCACGGGGCTAAGCCCAGAACCTCACTCGGCAGACAAGCACGATCGTCGTCATTTTGTCGCTTCGTCGTCGCCTTGAGACTTTGGCCCTTCTTCCTCTTGAAGTCCCCCAGGCTCCGATGGTCCTTACTGGTACCCTTAGGAAATGGAACCCTAGGCCGGCGTGTGGCACCGCATTCACATCAGTACGCATATCCATGAGTGTGTCAACCTCTCAAGAGAGCCGGGTGGTCGGGAGACATGACTCAGCTGCAGGGGCGCCAGAGCAGCTGCGAGAGATGACTCAGCCGCGAGAGATGACTCATCCGCGTACTAAAGTTGTACTGCAAAGTCGCCAGTTCTCAGCTTCCAGCTCCACAGATTGCTCCGCGTACTAAAGTTGTACTACAAAGTCGCCAGTTCTCATCTTCCAGCTCCCCAGATACTCCGTTGCACTACAAAGTCGCCAGTTCTCATCTTCCAGCTCCCCAGATACTCCGCGTACTAAAGTTGTACTACAAAGTCGCCAGTTCTCAGCTTCCAGCTCTCCAGATACTCCGCGTACTAAAGTTGTACTACAAAGTCGCCAGTTCTCAGCTTCCAGCTCCACAGATTGCTCCACGTACTACAGTTGTACTACAAAGTCGCCAGTTCTCATCTTCCAGCTCCCCATATACTCCGCGCACTAAAGTTGTACTACAACTTCGCCAGTTCTCATCTTCCAGCTCCCCAGATACTCCGCGCACTAAAGTTGTACTACAAAGTCGCCAGTTCCCAGCTTCCAGCTCCACAGATTGCTCCGCGTACTAAAGTTGTACTAGAAAGTTGCCAGTTCTCATCTTCCAGCTCCCCAGAGACTCCGCGTGCTCAAGTTGTACTACAAAGTCGCCAGTTCCCAGCTTCCAGCTCCACAGATTGCTCCGCGTACTAAAGTTGTACTACAAAGTCGCCAGTTCTCATCTTCCAGCTCCCCAGAAACTCCGCGTACTAAAGTTGTACTACAAAGTCGCCAGTTCTCATCTTCTTTTTTTCAGATACTCCGCGTACTAAAGTTGTACTACAAAGTCGCCAGTTCTCAGCTTCCAGCTCCACAGATTGCTCCGTGTACTAAAGTTGTACTGCAAAGACGCCAGTTCTCATCTTCCAGCTCCCCAGATACTCCGCGTACTAAAGTTGTACTACAAAGTCGCCAGTTCTCATCTTCCAGCTCCGCAGATACTCCGCGCACTAAAGTTGTACTACAATGTCGCCAGTTCCCAGCTTCCAGCTCCACAGATTGCTCCGCGTACTAAAGTTGTACTACAAAGTCGCCAGTTCTCATCTTCCAGCTTCCCAGATACTCCGCGTACCAAAGTTGTACTACAAAGTCGCCAGTTCTCATCTTCCAGCTCCCAGATACTCCGCGTACTAAAGTTGTACTACAAAGTCGCCAGTTCTCATCTTCCAGCTCCCCAGATACTCCGCGTACTACAAAGTCGCCAGTTCTCAGCTTCCAGCTCCACAGATTACTCCGCGTACTAAAGTTGTACTAGAAACTCGCCAGTTCTCATCTTCCAGCTCCCCAGATACTCCGCGTACTCCAGTTGTACTACCCACTCGCCAGTTCTCATCTTCCCACTCCCCAGCTACTCCGCGTACTACAGTTGTCCTACCACGTCGCCAGTTCTCAGCTTCCAGCTCCCCAGCTACTCCGCGTACTACACTCATCTCCCAGCTCCCCAGATACTCCACGCCTCTCGCCTGCATTTCGCGCACTCGACACGCACGATCTCCGCAGAGGGTTGCGCGGGCGCCCGCCAAATCGCACTCTCGCCTGCATTTCGCGCACTCGACATGCGCGATCTCCGCAGAGGGTTGCGCGGGCACCCGGCACATCGCACTCTCGCCTGTATTTCGCGCACTCGACACGCACGATCTCCGCAGAGGGTTGCGCGCGCAGCCGGCAAATCGCACTCTCGCCTGCATTTCGCGCACTCGACACGCACGATCTCCGCAGAGGGTCGCGCGCACACCGGACGAATCGCGCTCTCACCTGCATTTCGCGCACTCGACACGCACGATCTCCGCAGAGGGTTGCGGGCGCAGCCGGCAAATCGCACTCTCGTCTGCATTTCGCGCACTCGACACGCACGATCTCCGCAGAGGGTTGCACTTTCGGTTAACGCTGTTCGTCCCGCCCTCCGCCTTTAAGAGAGAATTTGTAAAGTGGGGAAATGTTTTTTCATTAGGACATCTCCCGTGCTAGTTTTCCATACTCACACTTGCCTACTCACTGCATGCTTGCATA